CAAGGACTGCTCTACTGAAAAATTAAGACATTCCCACCTTTCCCCTGCCATGTCAGAATAAAGCAGAACACTACAGCATAATTGTTGATCATCATTTAACTACTAATGACACAAAAATATTTCAATAGATTTGCCTGCAACTGGAATCTCTAAGTCACCAAAGGATCATTCCTCCTTCATCTGAGTTTTGAATTGTTTTCACTTCCACAGTCACTGAACACAGAAGAATGAAAAACACAATCCCCACCCGTTATGTGAATTACCAGCATTATGAGATGCAGGAAAGCTAACATTTGCTGGTAAATAATGCATTGTATGTCAGACTGGTAAGAACCCCAGCTGTGATTCAGTGTTTTGCTTTGTTCCTCATGAAAATGGTCTCACTTTTGAAAAGCTGTCATATTTATAGGGGACTGCAAGGTATATTTTGTTACTCACTGAAACTATTACTTATGGGGATATTTCTGAAATCAATTTGGCTGTCAGAAGACTATAGTTTATACTATGCTGTATGCATTATGAATCCCATCGGCAGATTTCCTTCTGGCACTTGAAACCAGTTTTGTAGGAAATAGCTGATAGAAAAGAAAAACAGATAGAGTTGGGGAGGGTGAAGGAGACCAGGCATTGGCTTTCATTGCTCTAAGTATCAAAAGCAAGGAAGAAATCTACAGTGACATATTTACATGAATCTATAATGACATGTCTACATGCAATGTACAATTCATACTGATCACACATCACAAAACTGGGAGGCAGTGAATTGTTGTCTTCTGAGCAAGGGAAAAGCCCTGTATTAATTCTATTTGGGTGTGAACTACTAAGAGGAGATGGAACTCTACTCCAGTTTGGCATTATGCTTGTCCTGACCATGCATAAAAATACTGACTGTAATGGGAGAAGCATTTTCCTGATCCACTCTCTGTCCACCACCCCTTTCAGAGATGTCTGTACACAAAGACCATCCATCAGAGTAGCTGCATTCTCTTAACTTCTTCCTTACAATTCATGTGTCATTTTGGTTACCATATGTTCCCTCAAACACAGGCATCAGCATCAGTTTCAGCAGAAGTCCTTGCAGCAGAAGGACTGACTTGACTATCCTTCAAGAAAACTTGCTATTTGAACTGATTTGTCAGGAGGAATCATCACCGCTCTAAATTTGATCATAAGGAATCATCCAGCTGCTTTCTCACACACTCTTCCCGATTCTCAGTGTAAGCTTAAGCAGACACAAGGTGAAAGAACATTGCCTGCATAAGACAACTATTCTTAGCAATACTTCTTCAGCAATACACCAAGCCTTGTTTTAACTATCGTAAGGCTCAAGAGGATGCTTTGAGATAGTCACTGCCTGCAAATTCTGTAAGTGAAGCCATAAAAAGTTGTGCATTGTCTGCATTTCCTTCTATCATTTCAAGCTCATGTTCCCCATTACCTGGTTCATAATCGACACCTTCCCCTTCTTTCTAAAGAGGATGGTAAAAGCCCAGCCTCTTCATGCATTTCTACAAGGCTTGGGTCAGAGCACTAACTTCTCTGCTATGCAGCAAGACAATAAATGACCTCTGGCCTTTATGTGACAAAAGTGATCTAATAAAGGACTGGAGCCATCTGAAGTCTCTACATCAGAGAGGGCTCTGCCTCATGAGCAGTGCTACCCAAGTTGTGTTCCAGGACATGCAAATTACAGCTGGCTTGTCAAGTGCTGATGGCACATGAAGGCAAAAGCAGCATTTACCAACTTTAACTGATTGAACACATCAGTGCAATTAGGGAGTTCTAGGCTAGCAACCTCAGGGAGTGTAATTTCTTTCCAACAGTGAGTTTCATCCAGTATTTTGTGTTCTGATGTAAAGTGCAAATGTAATATCAGGTACTATTGAGCAGTTTCATACCAGTGCTTCTATGACCTCAGCAGTATGAAAATACTAAGGAAAAATAGAGACTAAAAGCCTGTAGTGGTAGGAAACCACACATGGTTCTACAGGCCAAGCTTCTTGGGTTAAAGAGAGCATTTTCCAGAGCCTAAAGTGGTGGGGAAATGGTGAGTGACTTTGGAAAATAAGGATGTGGAGAGAAAGCTTGTCTAATGGAAGAAAAACAGCACAGAGCTAAGAAATAAACTGTGGTTCAGCTCTTTCAGTGCTTCAGTGCAACATCTTTGACCTCTTTACCTCATCTGTTCTCGAGAGATCATGACTGCCACCACTTAGAAAATCTGACCTCACTGTGTGTTAGCCCAGTACTGTGACCTGCTCCCACCCTACCATCCAGCTCCAATACAGACTCTACTCCAACCATCTGTGTTGAGTAGAAAAGCCACTTAGTAGCATACCAAATGAAATAAAATGACTCTTGAGTCATGTGCGTTAAGATACCTTTAAGTACAGAGGTCACCACTAGATTACAAGCCTTCTGTTTTCGTATGATCAAGTTAATGGTCACTGCCAGAAGCAAGACATCCCAGACACTTTGAGGTTCACCCATATTCTAACTAATAACGATTTGAACATGAGGTTCCAGCAGGAGAAAGGATTTTGCTGAAATTACAGTATAGGGATAGATTAATGGGTTTAACACTGATTAATAGTGGAAAAGAAAAAATAAGAGTGGCAAGATAGACTGATCCATCTGACACTAACTGCTACAGTCTGTGGTTTCTAGGATAGAAGCTTCCATATACATAATTTGTATATTTGACAGTTAGTTATATCTACATATATCACCAAGATCTTCACAAGTACACAGAATGATTTGAGGCATTATAACTTACAAATATAACAACAGCTGTGCTAATTTGTCCCCTTTTGAATACCTTCATCCCTGATCCCATGCCCTGAATTTCCAAAAGCAAATTTTTCAATACCCAAAGTGAAAACAACACAGCCAGCAAGTGTTAACTCCTTCAGTGGGGCAACTATAACTTTCCAAAGAAGGATCTTTATTGTTTCATTGCCTAGATCCTATACAGTCTGTACAGCAACACTGAGAGATTCTATAGCTCAAATGGTTAGCAGAGAGCTCCTTTAATGTTAAATTCAACTAAAATATAAAATCCAAACTTTCTGCTGTGTCTGCTTTAACTTCTCCACCTTTGTATGTTTCCAGGCTTGGACTGATTCATAGGTGCCTTTTCTACACTGAGATTCTTCTGATCTTTTTCTTCAAAGCATCTAAGATACTCAGGTCACACTGCAGAATAATGAGTAGTCAGAACAATTTCATAGAGTAGTTACTCTTGGTAATTAAAAAGAAAAAGCTACACAGAGCCAAACATTGAACCTGGAAGTGACTTCTTTCTCCATCGCCCAGAAAACTCACCATAGTTCCCATAACTCACCACATCAGAACCCTCAAAAAAGCACATGGTATGAATACTTCATGTTAAAATTGCACATCTTTAAGCTCTATCAGGCTGGCTCCACAAGATTCTCCTTCTTTAAAATGTTTCAGTATGCTCCAGTTTCTGCAAAGGTCTATACTCAGCAGTGGTATCTCAGAGCAGTGGCATTTTCCTCATACCTGCACCCTCTCTTGGTACTTGTTCTGTACTCATGAGTAATAGAAATGTTAACAGTGCTTATAGTTCAGTAGGGCTTATTGGGTTGAGGTAATCCCCTGCAAATGAAAACAGGATACCCCGGATGTCCCTAAGGAAATTTTTAGACTACAACCCTGGAAACTTCATGGGACACCATGGTTTCTGCAAAGGATGGAGCTGCTTCAAATGGGCACCAATTTAACAGATGCTTTCTGATTTCTCATTCTCACATATGTTTTCTTGTTCTTTTTTATTTTCTAAAACTTGCCTCCATAAGTAAAATAATCAATGTACCAGCATAATTTTATAAGTAAAACTGTGGAGATATAAGAACATTCATATGGACTATTTTTCACTCTAAGGTACTTTATCCTGGTAGTGTGACCACAATTCCAAAATAATTTACCTTAGATCAACAGATTTTCTTTCAGCAGGATGCTGGATCTGTTTACCATAAATAAAAACACCAAGAAAATAAGCAAACAAAAATAAAACACACTGAGTATTGGAAAAGGCATGATTAGAAAAATTTCACCTTTTAAACTGAATTGTCTTTGCAGACAACACCTTCCATCTGAGATGTCCAGAGAACTTATGACTTTTTTAACTTTGTCTCTAACAGGCCTGTTTGAAACAATTGCCTTTTCCCCACTTTAATTCACTTTCATATTTCACAAAACAAGGTAAGAGGCAGGCACACTGTAACTAAAGACTTGAGACCAGATGATACTACAACAGCAAACAGCACGCTAGAAATACCTGCATACAAGGGATCAGGAGAGGGGAGGAAGACTGATCAATGTATCTGATAAATTCATGTCTGTTTTGATGGACAAAAGTAACTTTTGTCTTTCATTACAGTCAAATACTGTACCTGTACACAATAAAAAGAAACACAAATAGTGACAGAGCACATGTGCATCGCTTGATGACTCTGGTTTGGAGGTTTATTTAGGGGAAGCACTGAAACAGGGAGGAGCAAGCCCTGTGCACTTCAAACACAAAAAAGTCTTACATTTAAAGGCAGTTGTAGCCAGGTGGGGGTTGGTCTCTTCTCCCAGGCAGCTATCAGTAAGACAAGAGGGCATGGTCTTAAGTTCTGCCAGGGGAGGTTTAGTTTAGATATCAGGAAGAAATTCTTTACAGAGAGTAATCAGGCATTGGAATGGGCTGCCCAGGGAAGTGGTGGATTCTCCATCCCTGGAGGTTTTTAATATAAGAGACTGGACGTGGCACTTAGTGCCACGGTCTGGTAACCACAGCAGTGTTGGATTGAGGGTTGGACTTGATGATCTCAGAGGTCCTTTCTAACCTGGCTGATTCTATAATTCTACGATTTGACTTTGACCTGACAGAGGAACGGTAATACAGGGCAAAAGTTGTTGTTCAACAACACTACTTCCCCATCATTAGAGCTCACACTCCTGAAAGATAATTCCAAAAATACAGAAAAAAATAGATTTTAAGATATCTAATTCTTTACATATCTTCAAGAAATTCAAGGGTCAGACACCTCCTGCTAGGGACAAAAATCAGATCTTGAAGTTCTGAGAAACAACATTCCTCATTCTGCCTCAAGTCGAGGTAAGACAGGAAGAATAAGATTTCCAAATGCAGAGTCTTGAGTTATGAAGTATCCTGAGGAATGTGCATGTGCATGCTGTAAAGAGAAAAGCATTTGTTAAAGCATAATTCCCTGTAGCACTGACATAATTTAAGACTTCAAGGCTTCTGCAGCATTAATGATTTATTTCTCCCAGTCTGCTCCTCAATTCTGATAGTCAAATTCAAACCCAGCATTTTAGATCAGTCACACTGGAACAGGGCCCACCACGGCAATTAACTTGGACATTCCCTGCTGTTCTTTTCAGCAAATCCCATGGAGGTGGGGCTAGTGGTAAATCAACTCCTGATTTCTCTCCTTTGCCTAGACCCCATGTTTCCACTCCCATCTAAAACAAACTTAGGTCTTGATTTGTGACAGCTACTGCAGAAATTGCCAGAATTGTGCATGACCGTCCCACAACCTGAGCCTGCACGTACAAATAACATGTGACCAGACACATTTTGGTACAACATGGGACACCAGCATTCTGCTCACAAGACATTTATGCTTGTTCACCTGAGGGGGGCAGCTGCTGTGTAAGATGGCTCTGGACAATCTTTGTGAAATCCTACATACCCCTTTCCTGTTAGTTTGCTAACTTACTGGACTCCGGCAATTTACGTGGCCTGCATATTCCTTCCTTCCACCACTAGGGAAAAGCCTTACTGGATATCAATTTAGATTGAGCCAGCAGCATACCCTTGTGGTGATCAAGGCTAACCAGCACAGTGGGCTGCATCATCGACAGCACAGCCAGCAGGCCAAGGGAAGCTATTTGAGTTCAGTTTGAGACAGAAACCGGAGGGAGTTCAACCAGAGACACGAAGAGACAGCTGTGGGGCTGGATGGAGCTCTTGACATCCAAGGAGATGGCCTTTCAGTATCTCTAGATGCAGGGCTGCACATCTAAACCAGGGCCAAGCGAAACTCTGACTGTATCAGTTTACCTGCAGTGCAGCCTTCTGCTGTGCTGCAATGTGCTGTTGCTCAGCATGATCACGGAAATCCTTGTTCAGAGGTGATCTTGAAAGTGCGATGCTGCAAAAAAGAACAAGATGGTATGATACAGACCACAGACAAAACATGTGTCCTTGCCATTCTAGCCACAGATTCCATGACTTCCTCAACTCACGGTTTATTCGACTCATGGCTTGACAATTGGTAATTACTGTTTGGAATTACTACTTGTTCATATAAGAGAAAAAAAGGTAAATGGAGTGACTATAGCTGTATCATTTGAGACATTATAAACAACTTATGCCAAACTACACCTGAAGCGTATAGTGGATTTTGCTCATGGGTTGAGTCCCACTGAAGTCAGTGAAACCACTGGGGTGCAGCATTAGACAATGTCAGCAATTTTTCAAACAACAGCTTGGTGCTTTCAGCACTACTCAGTCACCAAGTGACTGTTCTAAACAACTGTGATAAACAGAAGTACTAAAAAGAGTTCTGCAGATTTCAGTAAAAGAACAGTTCTTTGGCTGCTGGGCACCAGTTCACTACTTATGGTAAAGGAGTTTTTTGTTGATGTTAACTGAAATAATTATCCCCTATTGATAGCTGGGAGTACCTGAAACTGATTTAGCTTATCTAACTCAGCGCAGCATATGTAAGGTTTCAAATTAAAATTTATAAATGTTTTTTCTTGTCTTTTAGATCTTAGGACTTGTCCACCTTCTTAAGCAAAAAAAAGACATAAAAAGCATTCCCAACTCTATATAAGTAATGGATGTAAGTCAGTGAGCACTGCCATTAGAAATGTATCGCAACACAATTCACAACTACCTTTGAAATTGTCACTGCAGACGTGCTGAAAGCCCAGCTCTCCTCAGTCACAGAGGAAAAAGTACAAATGACAAGGGATCCAAGCAAACTCATCAACTGAACTTTCCCAGCAGCTTCAATGTCAACAGCTGATTTAGTAAATGAGTTTTTGAAAAGCAGCCATGCTCATGAATGATCTTTAGACAAATCTACGCCTAAATGCGTAACAAAAGCTAAACAATTCAGAGGATTGTTGCTTATGACAAATATTAAGATCAAGCTTCACTGATGGAGAAAAGTACTACTGAGTTTATTTAAAACAATATTTTCAATTATTTTGAAGGTATTTATTTTGCATTTATTCTATACCCTCTAACTTTTCAATATGATTTCTGTAGATAATCTTAAGGCTTCATCATATGCTGACACTTTTCAAGAGAGGTCTTCTGTTCTTGGATAGACAATTCTTGTGCCAAGGCCAGAAATTATATTAACTCATTCACCCTTACACTGTCCATGCCCCTATAGTGCTTGAGGTAAATCAAGCTCTTTCAGTCTTTCTGCTCTTTCTGCAGAATTTTTATGGTCTCATTTCTGACAACTCTGTGGTCCGAGACCTTTGGCACAACACCAAAAAACCATCAGCTTCTCAAAAATCACACAACAGCCCACAATGCCAAAGCAGAGAGCTTGACTGCTGCACTGTAGATTGCCCCTGCCCCCACGTTCAAAATTAGTAAATTCTAATTATGCTTACTAGAATATAGTGTTATTTTTCCCTAAAGAAAAAAGAAAGTAAACCAGCACTTCCTGAAACTCTCAGACTTGTAATGACGTATGGAAACACTGTTGCCAGGAGTCAGGGGTTGTACATAACAGCACGATATTCTGATTTTCATATCAACAATTTTGCTTGATTAATAATTGCATATAGTTACTATTAATAATTGCATATCTCGCTTGAGAAATCTAACTCAGGCAATTTCAAGTATTATGCACGCTTTTTCAGATTATGAAAGAATTAAAAGTGACCTAGAATCTCTTTGAAAAAAAGCAGCCCTCAGACTGCACTGCACTCACTTCATGCTAACGCAGAAGTTTGAGTATCTCAAATTCTCCACACAAATTACTGCATGATTTTCTAGTTATTGATTTATGACACAAATCTTATCTTTTTGCCTTGTATGGGAGAAATCCCAGTAACAGCCCTTAAACTCAGATTAGATTATTTCACCTTATGGTGTAGAATTATCCTTACAACACAGCATTTTTCATGAGATTATCTGCAGATAAACTGGCTTTGTCTTGCACACAGGGAGTTTCAAGAATAACTTGATCCTGTTGTAATTATTCTTCTCTAAAACACAGTATCCTGAACCTAATGGTCTGCTACTTCCACTCCTCATAGCATTTTAGCTTAATAATTAAATACTTTCTCAGTGCCTGCTTCCTGATTTTGCTTTATCATAGACTTTAGTACACTTGAATAAGCATATCTGCTTCTCCTATTCTCAAATGGAAATTACGTAAACCTAAATTCAGGGTGTGTAAACAATTTTAAATACTAATATGTTCCTAAAGAGCCATGTCCCTCTGCCTTGTTATTAAGGATGGTCAGAAAACACTTCTAATAAGTGTTTGTGTGAGTTTACAGCTCACTTGCTGTTTGCTTTTTTCTTTTGATGTAATCAGTGATGCCCAAAAAGGTCTAAGAACATAAAATACCTGGCTCCAGGGTGATTCGTGGAAGACTGGTTTTGCATAAGTAACTTTCTCTTCTCCTTGTCTAGTTCTGCCAGGATTGCAACCCTATTTTTATTCTGGAAACCTGGTAGGAATGACAGAAAAATATTAGAGATATTTATTTTATATCTGTAGCCCAACTCTAATGTTAAGGAATTATAAATCCCTGTACAAAATTACTTTAAGATAAATACACTAACCTTCCAAGCTTTGTACCCATTTGAAAAGGCTATTAATAAATATGCTTTATTTCTCCTTTTCTCATTTTATAACATGCAATAGCTTCCATAAGCTATCATGCATATTAATACATTTTAAAATAGAGGCTTCTAACTCAAGTTAGATCCTACCCCTTCCCACGACAGCTCTGGAGCTACAATCAAGGTACACGATCAAATACTTGTCTTCCAAAAAAAAGATAAACTTATCAGGTTGTAGATTTAAAATGCAGTCACTGAATGTTCAATTCAGTGATAACAATGGAGTAATATACTCACAGGGCCTAATTTCTCATGTCAATGAACTCAAACTATAACACAAGTACTATGTATGCAACAGGTAAGAACAATCACTAAGTTTGCACACGTGCTTATACAAACACTTACTGTCTTTCATTCAATCTATGCAGAAAGGTTTTAGTATATATACACACTGATGTCCTTACGTAAACACACTACCCTTATTGTGAGGATGATCGCGATGCTGGAATAGAGAAGCAAAATTAAACTGTCTGTACACAATACAAGAACATTTGGTTTGTAAATCATTCTCCCAAAGAGACCCTGTATATTACAGAAGGGGTCAGGAACTAAAGCATTCAAAAATGCCCAAAATAGCTGCCATCTATGTATTTTTCAAAGTTGCCTTCTAAATGAAAATGTGGCAAAGCTACCGTACTTACACAGGATTCTTATACAACAAAGGTTCTCCTTGCAGTCATCTCCTTTACTTCCCCCATACAAAAAGTCAAAGTCATTCCCATTGGAAACTGCTGTGTGTTGTGCCCCTGCCCTGAGCACTGTTTTAGCGACAGCACTAAAACGTGGTAGCCCACAAGCTGTTAAGTCCAGACACTTAAGGAGAGCATTAGCATGTCAAACTAAAATGATTTATTTTCAGTAGCTGCACTCAAAGTTCATTCCCTTTGAGAGACCTTCTGTTCAATTACATAACCCAGTATTCCTTTCATCTGAATGGCTCAATGAAGGAGACAGTTACCAGACAGAAACCTTCAACTCTATATAACAACTTGCATCTATACTGCCTTGCTATCAAATCCTCACCTTTCTCTTTCACCATGCCTAACATAGGCACCCATGTGCCTCAGTGTCTCAGGAGCTCTTGAAAAGAGCAGAGTCTTTCGATTACATATTATAGTGGTTTTATGCAAGGTCACCCATAATAATTTTTACATTTCTTAATAGATTTTTTTTAATTACATTTAATTAACTGCTATTTCTTCTGTCTACTAATCTCTCCCTCCCACATGGCATTAGCTTCACTTAAACTATTTTGTAAGTGCATAGATTCAGGTCTTCAATGTTTCTCCGCTTTTCAGGTATTGTACATTATCTCTTCTTTTGAAGACCTTGCAATTGCAATGAACCTGGAACATTAAAACACAGCTGAATGTGTGGTCTAAAACATAAAAAGGCTGAGAAATCTTGCTAACAAGCTAGGATTCAACATTCTGAGCTGCAGCTAGCCCAGATTTTACCTTCTTGTAAATTCTGGAGACAATGCCTTGACAGGATGACTGAAGCACCTCTAAGAGGGTCTGAGCTTAAGCAACCATGTCTGTATGCTCATTCTACACAGTTTTCAACCAAAAAGCTTAATACCTGACATATTACTCAGCAGCCTTCTGTTACTGCTTGCTTACCCTGAACTCCATAAATCTAAATGTATGCTTGGAATTCAGATGATACAGTGATTGAGGAAAAAAAAGGAGACAACTTTTTAATAAAGGTTGCTGTGAGCTAAAAAAGAAAGACTAAATGTGCTTAGATTTATCATCAAGCAGATGGTATGACTCAGAAAGCCTTGAGACATTTTAAATGCTGTTTTTAAACTGTGATAAGAAAGTGCTGAAGATTCTGTTTTCTATTTTAATATGAATCTTGTTACAGTATCTTATGGCAGAAACTAGAAGGATTCAGAAAAAAAACAAATATTTTTTCTTCCTTTTCTTACCTATCTACTAAGAGCTTTGTGGTGGGTTTTTTCGCTTGACTGTTGTTTTTTTAAAGTAGCATTTTGCTATAAAATTCAGTGACCATCAGCAATCTGCTGTGCTGAAAAAGTCACTTGTTTAAAATTTTTTAATGGTAAGGAGAAAAAAGCCTGCTTGAGAAAGTGGAGGAGCTCATTCAACACGTACATGTTAGTGCTTGTCAGCTGAGCAATGTGAAGTTCCTACAGGTGTTTTAAACTTTTCAAAATGCAAAGCAAAACCCTTCATTTAAAAGTTAACAATGGAGGGGGTGGAACATGAGAAAGCCATTTCATAGAGAAAATCTCGCATCCTTACAAAATAATTAATCATATCTGGCAATATATAAGCAAGACTTTAATTTAGATTGTTCTCTGCCCAGGCACCCAAGACAAACCTGAAATGCCTGTAAAAGTTTCCTACTTCAATTATAAATAGAGTAATTTTTCATCTGTAGATTTGATATGTCTGTTCTGCTTTCTAGTACTAAAAATGTAGACGTCCAAAAAACAAAAGCCATCCTTAGTACAGACTGGATTCTCATCTGTGAAAGGAAGTGCAGATTTTCAAACACATTAACTTCTTAAAAAGGTTTAAGTTTTGACTTCCCTTGATTGGGCTGAGTTGCACTACTATTTTGATTTTGAACAGTTCATGAATATTGCAGTTCATTAATATTCTTCCCTGCTTTGCAGACACAAGAGTCCTGACACAGAATGACTCATTCAAAGCAGCTAAATAGATTATTAGCAGTGTCAGATGTCAAACTGAGCACCTAGATTCTCAGATTACTCTCTAACGTAGACAAATCAGGTCATTTAAAAATTAAACCCTTCTGACACCACTAACATCAAGCATTGTACCTATGCAGGAGCTTAAAGACTACTTGCACCCATGTTCTGCACATGAAGGCATAAAATCAGAGAATGCTGAAACCCTGCTGAGTGATACTGGCAGCTTTATGAGCTCACAGCAAGTTTCACTTTTTAACCTAATCCTAACACCTACTCTTACCACCCTATCTCACCAATATTATGTCAGTTAGTTCTAACTAACTCTGCACAGCAAGAAACAGTATTACCTTTATCTTTTTTAAGTTCTTGCTTTTCATCACTTCCTTTCCCTTGATTTGTTGGTTGCTTCAAATTCACAGTATATGTAATTTTTTTCTAAGATGCATTATTTTTTAATTTGTCCATAGATGTGTAACAGCACAAATATTGCCAAGTATTGCTGCAGCAGCAGTGTATTCCTGAGTACCTGGAAGTGATTTCTGTAACTTAGAAGGTGACTTCCACCCCTCAAAGTATACCACTCTGGTCTATGAGTTCTGGTCTGGACAACACACAGCATGCAAGAATCTATTCCATTTCTTTCAAGTGCTGTAGATAGTCTCATGCAATCAGTTCCATGTGGCACTAACAGCCTGAAGTAACGTTTTTCATTCAATTCTGCTGGTTCTGCTGCACTTATATGCAGCTCCTCCTCAGGAGTGCTCTCCTAAGGGGTCAATGTTTAAAAGGAAGTCCAATCTGCAGAATCTTAACCTTTATAGTCCAAGTCTGTAATCAACAGAAAACTCAAATTAACTCCTAAGAAAATACCTGGTACTGATTAAAGGGACAGGATTAAGTTGGTACAAAAAATTACCAAAATGGTCTACCTGTGTAGAAGGCTAATGTTTAGTTCACCCCTACAGTTCTGCTTGAATAAGTGCTATCATTCATAACCCTTCTAGTGAGTGTTTCAGTAAATTTCTTCCTTTTGTCCACAAACAGGAGAATGAATTGACTGAACAGTACTAACACATATGCCATGAAGCAAGCTAAAAAATGCAGTGTTTGTCTTAATCATTTTCACTACTAGACTGCATCTGGCCAAGAAAGAAACCCTGAACTGTTGTTTGTATTTATCTGTTCCTTTCTAATTTTCCTAGTTGTACTATTTATAGCCTTATTTGGTAATTAAACTTGACAGTGTTTCTAGAATGCTTAGTACAAACAATTTTCACATGGTAATTACACAGTTCCTTTAGTGAGTCTCTAAAGGATATCTCAAATATAAAAACAGATTCCAAGGCTCTATTAAATTATAAGACTCTGGAATGTGGAAGGAAGCGAAGGTATTCTGGGACTAAAATCCCATCCCATCCTTCACAGTAAACCAACCTGTTTAAGAAAAAGCAGCTTTTAACTCTCTATGACAACATTCTATTCCTTGACATGATGCTGACTTGTTATTCACAGAATAAAGCAGGATTTACCACTATGTACCAAAAACTTCTCAAGAGTTAAAATTTGTGAACAGGTAACTATCTGCAATCTGTAGCACTCCTCTTCCAACATTTCACAAAAGCTCAATATCCATTCCAAAAACTACCTTCTTTTCATCAAGTAGCAAGTCAAATGTGTCTTTTGGACACATAAATCTGGTACCCCTCAAAGTATCATCCAGCAACACCCAGTTTTGCAGGACTGCTTTCCCAGATAAGGACTCACACACAGATGTGCATGAAGAAGTCTCTGGCTGCTGGGAAACTGAACCCAGAATTCATTTCCCATAACCAAGTAAGTAAGTGGAGAGCCATACATGAGAAGCTCCTTTTTCCTCAGCTCTTCTATGGAAGACAAGCCTCAGAGTCCCACTAAGGTTTCCAGAAAACACCTCTAGAGGGCGATTTAAGACCCTCCTTCAATTCACCGTGTGACACCCCCCAGACCCTCCTCTGCCTTTAACACAGGTGCTTCAGCTGGATAGATGGACCATTTCCATGTTTTTAAGGATTTTAAGGATGCAATCCAGATGCCTCTTTGCACAAAGAAACATTTAATTGCAGTTAGCATTATGGTTTTAATTGGCTTTTCCTCCTAGGCCTGGCCGCTTTGTCTATCCTTGGACAGATATTACTGCCTGGGTCTTGCTGTTCCCATCATGACCTGGAACGCACCTGACTTCTGGCTGTTCCCTGATGTTGACTGCAAGTCATGTTCAATACCAAGTGTTGGAAGCATCTGAAATAAGCTTCACGAAAATGATCACAGGACCACAGGCATGGCAGATACTTTCTAGTGCAAACATGAGGGTATGTTCAGTAATATAAAGCTCCCTAACCATCAGTGGTCTTTTTCAACCCTTTGATGTGTGTGTGCCTTCTCCCAGAAGGACTGCTGCCATTCTGCTGCTTTCAGCCCCACCTCTCTTCCCTATCCTGATAGTTCCATTAAATAAAATTACAGTTATGGTGACTTCACAACATTTCGCACACAGACTTTTCCCTTGAATACTTAAATTCATTAAAACCTACCTTGTCCTGAAGGATTTGCTGCCATCCTTCAATTTTCAGCCCTTGTTTTATTCAACTGTAGTTCAAATCTTTTAACCCCCACAAATATCTGCAAAACAGGCACAACGTAAGATAGACATACTTCTTCAAAAGAAGAGCCTGGATTTCATTCTATTAGAGATTTTATAAACATGGCAACTGTCAGAAAGCATAAGCCAAACACCGCATGCGCACTGCTTAAAATGCATTATACAGTTTATATTGTTCTGATTGGAACCTTCAGCTTGAAATATCAAGAGCTGTGCTGATTCTTTTTCAGAGTCTAGTAATTTCTATTAGTAGCAATAACAATTTCTAGTAATTTCTATTCTAGTAAGAACAACCTTTAGAGTTATTCTGGAGTTACACACGGTTTTCCCAACTGAATTTCTTCCTGACAACAGGAATGGGCTCTCCCGCTCGCCTTTCTCCCCCGCCCACGACGGATGAATTGACTGTCTCGTCCTCGCCGGGCGGGCGAGGATGCTCCATCCGGCCGGGATGGGCACCTGCTCTCCGTTACCCACCTGTCCGAGGGCTCGGTGCTCCGGCTCCTAGCAGCCCCGCAGCCCTCACCCGCAGCGTAGCAGCCCCGCGGCCATCTTACCCCGGCTCGCCCCGCCGCCGCGCGATCGTGACGCGCTCTCTGCGCGACGGCTCCTCCCCATCCGGGCACTTCCCGTCGCTGCCCGGAACGGTCGGGCCGAGGGATCAGGGTGGTGAGGGGGAAGCACGGCCGCGCTCCATGGATCTCTCCGTGCAACCTTAAGGCTCTGCTTTCCTGCCTCATCCGCCTGGGCACGGGAGCAAGCGCGGGGGCCTCACCCTCGGGTCTCGGTGTGGCGCCTCCAGGCAGCAACACGGTTAAATGGGAAAAAAATACAAGTGGAAGGGAAAGGGTCACAAAATCACTTAGGCTGGAAAACACCTCTTGAGACTGAGTCCCACCTAGGACTGAACACCACGTTAGCTAGACCACAGCACTGAGTGGCACAGCACCACGTCCAGTCTTTCCTTAAACACCTTCAAGAACTGACTTCACCACCTCCCCGAGCAGCCCATTCCAATGTCTGAATCACCCTTTCTGTTGAGAACTTCTTCCTAATGTCCAACCTAAATCTCCCCTGGCACATCTTGAGACTACATCCTCTCATCCTGTTACTGGTTGCCTGGGAGAACAGGCCGCCCCACACCTGGCTACAACTTCCTTGCAAGTGGCTGTAGAGAGTGAAAAGGTCCCCCTTGAGCCTCCTCCTCCCCAGGTTAAACAACCCCAGAACCCCTGACCTCCCTACTTTTTTTTTTTTTCAGAGTCCCACACTTTGAATACAGCAAGAATATTTGGCATGAATTTCAGAAAGGTTTGTTCATGGAACTACTGCTTTTGAAATGTCAGGTAGCAGGCTTATAGGTGAGAGTATCTTTAATTGAGTGATCTGGTCAAACCTGGAGGATAAGCCTTGGTCTTGTAACAGCAAACTGTGACTTTTTGTTTATGTCTTCGTGGTTAAAGTCAGTTTGAATCAAACCAGGCTGAGTAGTGATTTGAACTGTGGCCTGTAGTAGCTGTAGCTCTCATCGTACATAAATAAAATCAATTAGTAAGAACTGCAATAAATAAATAATCTAAAAGACTGCAACAGATGGGGCCAACACTGACCTCTTGATAGCCAAAAATCAGTCACATTGCCTACTTCAGTTTTTTATGCAGGGTTTTTTTAGGACACTAAACAATTTTAATTACATAAAGGCCTTTTTTTTACCAAATTGAAAGATAAGTACAGGAAATCAGTTGTTTTTTTTTTTTTTATAACTTAGTTCGAGGTGTCTCTGTGTAGACACACTTTGGCTTTACCTTTTTAATATTAAGGTTTTGATGGTAGACGTAACAGGCATTTCTGAGCAAATGGCACTTTTTTATGGCAAAGGTGATATTGGATCTGGTTGTCAAACCCTCTGCACACTGCAGAGTAATTTCGTGTGCTTCCTCTTTCTGTAAGTCCATATTATAAGTCTATTATAAATCCATAACCTCATCACTCTTCAGGCCTAGAGTGGAATAATGGCTTATTAAAAACTGTAGGTTTAGTTACAATGGAATTATTTATATTGGTAAAAGCATACATAGGGTGTGCCTGGTGCTAAATGCCACACTAGTCCATTAGCTTGGACAACCAAATATATACATAAATGTTGAAGGCAATAAACCATTTCTTAAGGTGTGCTGCAGCCAGCTATACTAGATGATGAAGAAATAAATTACATTTTGAAAGTGTACAGAATGTATAAAAATCCTGTCAGTATCTACACTAATTGATTAATTTGTCTTAAAATAGTGTGCCTTAGTATTATACACATAGATTCTGTGAGACAGGCAATATTCTGCTACCCAAGTGTGCTGTCTGTCCAAGCATTTATACTTACTTTTCAAACACTAAATGTAAAATTTGAAAAACTGAACAAATTTATATCTGGAAACTTGCAACGTCCAGATGTAGAATTTAGTTACCTGGATCGTTGGCCTGGTAAAACCAGTGTGCCTGTGTGTGTGTTTGTCTGGGTGTGTGTGCGTGTCTCTACCCAAACCAGGGGACAATCTCAGGGAGTTTTCTGTTTGCTTTAAAGCTATGTTAATTAATACTGTGGAAAGCAAACATTGCTGCCATTCCCACATACGAGTATTATTTTCAACTGTTCTCTTTGCATGAACAGATGACTGAGCACCTTCCCTCCTTCTGATTTTCATGTTTCGTTTTGTTTCATTTTGTAATTTCTCATTGTGCCGTGAGAACTGTCGTATGTGCTATTTTTTCCTCTTGGGCGATCTGCAGTCCATTTTATCTAGATATCTTGCTTGTTATCCTTAACTGCTGAGAAGCATTGCGAGTGGAGACCAGCGCAACACCTAAGCCAATAATCCCAACTGGTGCATTTCTCTGCATCGTCATGAGAGGACTGAGGTTGTTAGTGATTCTAGAAAGCTGTAGTTTGAGACAGACAGGCCAAGCTGCTGGGCTCTTTCTGGACAGAGGTAATGCTGTTAAGAAGAATTAATTAGTGGACAGTGGTCCTTGGCCGGGGATCAAGGAAGGAAGAAGTAGCAGGGTGAGAAGGAGGAATCATCAGCAAGGAAACTCAGGTGCAGAAAAGCTGAGACTCGTTAATTCTTTGTTTCGGTATGAGTGTGGTGAAAATTGATTATAGTAACTTTGACCATCTCTGCAAAAACATAGTCCTGCCTCAAGTCAAATGATCCTTTGGCTTTGGGAGGAGTTTCATATCAATGTCAATTAATTTCCTCCTTGGGTTGTAGAAAGAGGAAGGAATGAAGCCCTTGAAAGGAGTGGTGTCTAATCTCTAGTGTTTTAGAATACTTTCATTTTCCCTGAAACTACTCCTTCTTGTTCACCATAATCAAATAAAAAAATATAAAATGTAGCTTTTATAGTGTGTCTATTGAAAAGTCATTACAAAATTTTCAGTTTAATAAAGCTGTTCTTGAACATTGCCTCACAAATCTGGCCATGCTTTTTCTTGAGGCAATATAATGCTGTTTTTCGGGCTGACTGTTCTTGTCACGTTAGAGTAGAGGGAGCTGTGTATCTCGTTATATAAAAAAAACCCCTATTTTAAATTGGATGTGATACTGAATGATCATAAATGTCAGTATTTCAGAATGGCCATGGGCAGTCCTACTCACTAGGCTGAGGTAAAATATTGATTTTCTTTCCCCCCCCCCCCTGCACCCCACTCAGTGAAAATAGTATGTGCAGGATGTCTCCTTGGCTTGAGCCAAGATCTTCCAGAATGCTGCTCTTATTTCCAGTTGGCAGTGCTACTCATACAGAGCCATCCTAAACACCTCCTTTTATTTCTCTATTTATGGTTTTCGTGGTTTGTCACTAAAAAAAAACCCCAAACCCTCAAACAAAGTAGAATGTTTTGAAGAGTCTTTAAACATTTTAGTTGTATTACTTTTTTATATCCACTTGCCTAAAGATACTGTATCCATGTATCCATACTGTCTTTCTCCTTGACTGGATTTCTGATTTTTCATTTGATAGCCATTTAGCATGGGCTTTTGCTTTCTATCACAAGTGCCCTATGTTCCCACTCTCCTTTTTATTGCATCCCCATCAAACTTGACAGCTTTGAAGGCTTTTGATGCAGCAAAAGCTTAGCCGTTAGCTTACACGTGTGTGTGAGTGCTCATGTGTTGTGTGCTGTTGACTTGGAACTGATCCCATCTCTGTAGAGAGTCAATGAGCAGGAGCATAAGATTCAACTGGGTCGGGTCAAAAGCCTGCCCTCTTCAATCTCTGCAGTACAAGACATGAGCTTTAAAAGCATAAGGAAGGAAGGACCTTCTTCAAAAGACAGCTGGATTTTTTTTTTTTTTTTCTTTACATCCTCTAGAATGGTCTCTTGTTCCATATTGGTTTCATATGTGCTTACATGCAGACAGACACAAACATTATCCTTTCCAAGGTAGACCACAGTGGGGAAAAGATAAAGCAGTTGAGGGGAGGCTGTTGACAGTGTGGGAAAAGAGCTTTTACTGCCCTTGACCTGGCAAACCAGCCAAGCCTGACAGTATGACTGTTGTGGCCTCCAGCCTACCTTATTGTTTGTATTGCTTGGATTGTGCTATAGAGAAGAATCCTATAATTTAGGCTTTAAATAGAATAATTAATGAAAAGCAAGTGTGCTTTACATGTTTGGTCTAGTAAATAAATACAACCTGAAGTTAGCCTCCTGATATTGATTGTAAACCTTACTGCCATTTTATGTCTCATTATCTGAACAAGATGAAGATACATTAAAGACAATGTTAATAAACAACTGAGAGTCCTTTTCAGCTCACACTGAGCACTTATAAAGCCATCTGCCATTAAAAAAGCATCCTGAGTGGTATTATTGGAGTAACTGGCTCTTCAAATCAGAACAGCAGTACAAGATAGGTGCTGCCTGTCTTTAAATTTGTAAATAGTCTTCCTACAGGTGACCTGTAGATTCTTTCCTTATTTATCCAAGTAACAATCCAAAGAGGTAGCCTGCAGGACTTTGATTTCAGTGATACAGAGACAGAGCTATTTTCTTCAGAAAAAAACACATGAAACTGGTGACCTTTGGTCTTAAATTGGTAAGATTCTTGATCCCCAGATCGACCATTTTTCTTCTTGCCCAGTTAGCATTACATGCATACCTATTCTGTTTCATCTTGTTTCTGATCTGAAATGATGTAAACATAATAAATAATAGTTAGGATTTTGCTAGGAGAGCATGCCAGTTTTTTCAGGTTAACTTGGGTTAAGACGTGGGCATTGAATAGCAGCTTCCAGTCAACTTGTCATTGATTTTGATTTTCATTGTCTTTTATTATGGTTGCATATTTCATGTGCGTATTGGTTTTCGCTTGGTCAATGTTTAACAAAAAGAAAACTACCAATATAAAGGTCAAGGACAGTATTACAGTCATAAAATTATACCATCACAGTTGGTGGTAAGGAGTAGGAACTGGAGAATGGTACATTACCATGTTTTTAATCACTCATAATTTCTTAGCAGAATTAAAATAATTACTTATTTCACTGCTGGTGTTAGAAAAAAGACACTTTCCTTCCTCAGT